AAAAAAAAAAAAAAAAAGGCAGACAAATAAAACAGCCCAGGGTAAGTGGCCTCAAATGGTGTAAAAAATTTTTTAAAATAAAAAATAAAAAAATAAATAAACGACAGTACCTTAGAATTTTAGAAGGGGGCCAGCCCAATCTCTCATGTGAGCACATGACACGACTGAGGAGCACGAAGGACTTGACCGAGGACTTGGTTCTCGCACTTGCAGGCTATATATTAGACAAGTCTCTTACTACTTTTGTATTTCGATTTAATTTTACTGAAGTGTTGTAAGGAGTAAACGAAATAATTTATGTCAATTATGTAATTTATGTAAAAGCACTCAGAAAACTATAAGGCGACATCCATACCTTCTTGATGTGGTTTCAGAAACTGAAGCTCTGAGGGGCCAAACGACTTGCCCAAGATCATACATGTAGTTACAAAGACTTCCTACCAAAATAGTTACAATTTAAAATGATAAATATTTCAAGGAACCAAGTAAATCATCTCCACCTATTCTTTCAACTACTATGAAAGTTAACTCTTTTCAGATCTTTAAAGTTTGATTTTACTCATTCTTTTCCTGCATCATCCTCATGGAACAAACACGTGAATCTAGACACGTCAGACACCTGGAGATTTCCAAACACTTCACCAGGGGACAACGATGCTAAATGCCTGAATTTTATGCTCCCAGTGTGGCCGTGAGAGAGTTCTAGCAACTGTGCACATAATAAACTATGGGGTGAAGTATTCAACAGGTGAGGTAATGAAAGATTATGAATCTTTAAAATTAGAAGAGCTCCACACTGCTCTGTTCACCATCAGCAATCTTAGTGGGTCACTTTTATCTATTTCAAACTTTTCACAAAATGTAACTACAAACTCCTAATCACAGTGGGCTCCAAAACAGAGTACTACTGAGCTAGCGAGTGGTAACTGAACGAACTGCCAATGTCTACATTTAGCAAGTACTTTCCAACGTGACAGAAAGCGTTAACTCTTTCCTTGTGATCTTGTAGTTGGAATGAGAAAAGACTGAGTAGTCGACAAAAGGCTACACTTCTACCCAAGAGCTTTCTTTTCACTTGAAATATAGGTTGACTTCTGCAAACCTGCTTAAAAAAAATAACTACCCATTGTTTAAATAATCCCGACAGTTAAGCCAAAAACAAAAGCCATCATTGTTATGTTAAAGAGCCCTAGCCTTCTGACTCTGAACTTCCAATTCCAAGAGCTCTAAAAAAAAAAAAAAAAAAAAAAAAAAAAAAGGAGAGACGCCAAGCCGAGAAAGCGCTGGGAAAGAATTACTACAGGAGGGTGCTCAACGCAAGCCCTTCCTGTCTCCCTCTCATCTTGCTCCCATCACACCCTTTAACACGTGGGGTTCCTGGAAGATGTAGCCAGCAAGGTAACAGTGCTGGCTTCCCAAGGATTCAGACTTGTCTAAAAAACCAAAAGGCTAAGGCAAAATGACTACACACACACACACACACACAAGACAACAAAAGGAGCTGCAATTAACTCCACGTTTGGCACTGTGGCATCATAAGCCCGGACAGTCCTGAGACGGGCGACAGGAGACACCATGCTACACATGGTCAAGTATTCCTGGGAACGGGGCCCAAATGGCCATTCATCACACATACTTTTCCTTTCAATATGGCTTTCCCTGATGAGCACAGCCTTCCAAGACAGAGTCCAGGCAAGAGTCATCAAACCGATGCCTTCTGAACAGTGATGTCCTTGGAGACCAGACTGCCAAGATTTTAACACTTTATTTTCTCCAAACATAGAAACACACCTGCCAAGTAGAGCACCGTAAAATACTGTGATATCATATTTAGCTTCCAGTGATTAAGAATGCAATGGAGCTGTCTAATGTCACTTCCTAAATGAAACCTAATGGCAAAAATAGTTAACGGTGTAGAATGTCTGTGTTACCCATACCCCTAACTCGAAGGTAACCAGTTATTTGAGAACTTCCAGCATACCATTACCAGGTATACCTTTACTAAATTCCACTTAACTCATAAATGTTTTGACATTTGACGGTTTTTATTTATTTTTTATTATTTAAAACTTTTTTTTAATGTTTGTTTATTTTTGAGAGAGAGACAGAATGTGAGCCAGGGAGGGGCAAAGAGAGAGAGAGACACAGAATCCGAAGCAGGCTCCAGGCTCTGAGCTGTCAGCACAGAGCCTGACCCGGGGCTCGAACCCACGAACCGTGAGATCATGACCTGAGCCGAAGTCGGACGCTCAACCGACTGAGCCACCCAGGCGCCCCTGATGGCTTTTATTTTAATGAAAGAATTTTAAAACTTTTGTGTCTGGTTTTATTTGTAAGCGCTAGAGCAGTTAAGAATATTTTTTCTCCATACGAGAACCTAAGTGAACCCAAAGTAAGTATTCAGATAACAATGTTTATATATAAAATGTAATGAAGACATTTGAGAAAAATACATGAAATTCTGTGTCTCAAGGAATTGTGTACTACCAAGCCAACTTTTCAAACAAAGTGTTATTTCTTTTACCTGTTCATTCATTCAAAAACCATCTATACGCCTGCCATTTTATATGCTATCTGCTCTAGATGCAAAGATAATTAAGACACGATTCCTGATCCCATGAAGTATCTAAAGGCAGACAGGCAGGTTCACAATGTCACTCTTGCTTTCAAAAACCAATGCCAGGGAAGGATAAAATACCATGAAAATCATATTCTGGAATAAAAGTTGGCTGACATCTTGGAATAGTTCATTCTTCCCCTTATATATTAGTATTTGGTTCATAGAGAAATAGTCAACAAATTTCAAAATCCTTCCAAAAGACAGCAATATATATCTCCATCCCTCAGTACTGTAACCAGGCACCACTCCAGCATTAGTGATCAGAGTTTAGGTAATCGACCTAAACCATCTGCAGTGATTAGATGTGACACGGTTCCCAGTAACACCAGTGATCTGATAAACTTTCAACTGGTCGACCTCAACGCCTTTCCTCCCCACCCTCAACTAAATAAAATACGTAGATTTTTGGTTCCTCCCTTAAATTCTTCCCAATTTACAGGGCAAAATACTCACCTGGAGTTCACCTCCCCAGGCTA